AATTAATAATTCATGATATTTGAATAATATATTTGCAACTATATTTACAACTATAATTTGACCATTTTATGGCAAAGTTAATGTTGTAAAATGTCATGTGGTGTAACTCCCCATACATGTTATAATTTATAATATTTGTAAAAATGCCTTTGTACCTTGAAAATATATTATTAATAATTAAAAATATATGTCATATAGCAAAAAATAATTAAAGTCATATGGTGGAACCAACTTGCAGAAAATTTTTTAGAAGTCTTAAGATCAAGATGTCATTTAAAATGTTAGATAATTTTACCATTTTATGGCAAAGTTAGTTAATTTTGTAAATTGTCATGTGGTGCAACTCCCCATAAACTTTATAATTCATAATATTTGTAAAAATGTCTTTGTACCTTGAAAAAATATTATTATTAATAATAATAAAAAATTAAAGTCATGTGGTAAAAAAACTAAAGTCATATGGTGTAACCAAAATGCAAAAAAAGCATGAAGATCAATAAGTTTAAAGGGGTCATATGATGTTGCTAAAAAGAACATTATTTAGTGTATTTGGTGTAATGAAATGTGTTTATGCGGTTTAAGGTTCAAAAAACATTATTTTCCACATACTGTACATTATTGTTTCTCCTCTATGCCCCGCCTTTCTGAAACGCATTGATTTTTACTTATTGTTCTGAAAAGCGAGGTGTGCTCGGATTGGCCAGCTATCCAGTGCGTTGTGATTGGCTGAATACCTCAAGCGTGTGACGGAAATCTTACGCCCCTTGCCATATGGTGATGATGCCTTGTAAACAAAGCCAACCACCTAATAAATAATATGTGTCAGTACTGGGTCAATAGTATGTAACAAGCATTACTTTTATTTGTATCAATACTACAGCGAGAATAAAAGTTATGTCTTCTTTCTTTGCGTGAACATTTGGGTGGCGTTATGCAAATCTTCCCACATCGTGATGTAGATATGTTGGGGGCGTGTTAGAACGAGCCGTTTTAGGTAGGCGTGGTTGACTCTTAACTTTTATAAAGAATATCTCTTTGGATTTGAGACTTTAGTCTTTGCAACTTTACAGATCTTCTTTATGCACCAAGAGCTTGTAACACTCCAAAGGAAAAATTGAAATCGCATCATATGACCCCTTTAATAAAATATCAGATAATTTGACCATTTTATGAGAAGGCAAAGTTAGTTCATGTTTTTTAAATGTAATGTGGTGCAACTCCCCAAAAACCTAATGATGTTTATGAATTTAGGAAATAATTCATGATTTTGTAAAACTGCTGTGCACTTTATTATTTATTATTTTATTTAAAAACTTTTTAACCCCCATTACTGTAGAATTGAACAAAATACACAGAGGACAGTGAAACGCTAACGGGTTAATAAATAATGAAAAGTACGTTATTTTATTGATGATTATGCCGCATTACATTTTTAGAGTCAATAAATGTGTCTCTTGAAAATAATATAAAAGTTTATCAAACCCATGTGAAGCCAACAGATATTCATATGTCACTGACCCTAGTCTAACTTATGTATGTTGTAGTCAGCGTTAAATCTAATCAGCGTCATAATCGCTTCCCCCACAGAGGATCATCTGGAAGGCCTGAGGTTGGTTGCCACTCCACACCTCAGTCAACCTGAGATTATGGTGACACATTTTGGCCACGAGTCTTTCCTGGCACCTCTGATCGAACACGAGGGTGAAGCCTATTTGGAAAGGACCGGTGGTGTCCGACGTCACACAGTGGCCAATGTGCATTCGGACATCCAGCTCCTGTCCATGAAAAACAGGATGTGTTCAGAAAAAGTGGAGGTCAGTGGGGCGGCCAGGATGACCAAGACAGAGAGCAAAAGGACACCTAAGACTTTCTGCAGTGAACCGGCCTTTTTTGACTCCCGGCCAGGTGGCGTGGAAATCCTCCGAGGGCAAAGCACTGCAGAGATGAAGTGTGGCCTAACTAGTTAAAAAAAGCCTCTCTCAAAACGCCCACTGAGATCTTGTAAAGTTACGATAACTGAGACAAGCTACAACGTGCTCGCTTAATACAATATGGACTCTACTGCTGTGGAAATGTGAGCTGTTTTGTGTGCTAAATACTGTTTGGCCTGTCAGTGTAGCCTGTTTTTAAGAGCTTGGAGGGAGGAGGATGGTTGAAGAAGCTTTCGCTTCAGCCGTTTCTTGTAAAGCACGCCAAAAGTCACACTTTTTTCTGTCGTGGAGGTGGTAAAGCGGTGTGAAAGTATGCTGGTGAGCAAACGGTTTACAAAGGTACAGCAGAAACCATACGAGACAAACTAAAGGCACTTCCTTACAGTTAATGTCTTTACATTCTCTTTCTTAAGCGGTCTTACCGTTTCATTTCTTTGTAGTGGAAACTAAACATGCTGACATGAAGAAAAATACGATTTTTAGTCTTTTATGAATGTTTTGTTTTATTTTATGAAATTGTAATATTTAAAAAATGTAATTTAAAATAATTTAAAAAGAAACTTAATTCAATATGTGTGTGTAAAATAATGTATATTTTTGTAGTAATAAATTTAATGAAGAAAGTGTATTTGAAATCATTTTGGCATTTGATTGTTCATTCAACACTGGACTGTACGTCTAAGGTTTGAGTAGATGTCTTTAGAGGTTCATGTGAGCATTTCTTTGCGGCTCTGGCATACAGTGTCGAGTTCCTTCAGCAGATTAGCTGTTAAGGAGCTTTAGATGCTGTTTTCAACGTCAACATCACCTCAGAAAACCTTTGTGGTGGTGTTTCAGAATGTGAGCTGCCAAAGAGCTTTATTGCGAGTGTACTAAACAAGGACATTTGACCTTGGAGCAGATGGTTATGTGTTCATCAAAGACAATGTTTTGTTTGCTATTTGGTATTTTATTTTGTTATTTTAGCTTGGTTGTATTCGTAATGTGAATATTTTAAAACTTAATTTTAATTAAATTTAAGAATTTGTAATGAAAATATGCTTAGTCACAACAATACAAAAAAAGTCTTAATGGTCAAAACAAAATAGCGTGTAAAAAAAAAAATATATATATATGTGTGTGTGTGTGTGTGTGCATGTGTGTATATATATATACATATACATATATACTGTGTATATATATGTATGTATGTATGTATGTATGTATATGTAAATATCAGCTACTGGTTTTTTTAAAATCTGGCAGAAGGAGCCAGACTCATTGAGGAGGTTCCCGAAAGTTCACTGTAATCTTATTTGAGGTGATTAGTTCAGTAAGGCTTTCCTATTAAGAAGATAGGGAAATTATGCAGCCGAAGGGCATGAATACATGGGAAGTAAGAATAAAAAAATGTACTGGTCTTTGATGCCATCTTCTGGAAGGTTTACTTGATTGCAGCTCACGGTCAATAAATAAAAATGAGTTCCTGTTTCTTACATTTCTGTTTTTAGAGTTAAAAGCTGAGAGTAGAGTACTATATATATTCAAATTTGCAAAATATTCAAAAACACTACAACAGCTACAATAGCACTTGGAAGTTTAGATGTTTGTTTAATACAGTGGTGTACAAAATTATTAGAACTAGTATTTTCACCTTCTGGATTGAGTCTGACAACAGCCAGTGCTGTCTGGAATGACATGAAGAAACAGAACAAACTGAGACAGACTCAATCCAGAAGAACTGTCTGTCTCTGTTCTGTTTCTTCATGTCATTCCAGACAACACTGGCTGTTGTCAGACTCCTTGTGCAAACAAAACTCTCACTGGATTATTACAATTAATGGCAAAATGAATGTTTGGAAATCTATCCATCTCAGTTTTTTTAAGAATTTCAGTTTGATATCCTTTATAACCTATTTCATATCCTATATGAGTTTGATGTTCTATACTGTGTTGAAGGTTGGAAAATTATTGACGCTTGAAGAAATTGTTGCTGGTTTTCAGCAGAAGTGTAGTGATGAACAGCAAAAGAGGCACTTTGAATTCCTCTCCGGGAGAAAAGCACTTTTGGCAGATTCATGACAGATTCCACACAGTGCTGTAGCTTTGCAGATAGGTTTCTTGAAGCATCTTGGAGATGTTTCCACAGTTCTTCTGGATTTAGTCTGTCTCAGTTTGTTCTGTTTCTTCATGTCATTCCAGACAGCACTGGCTGTTGTCAGACTCCTTGTGCAAACAAAACTCTCACTGGATTATTACAATTAATGGCAAAATGAATGTTTGGAAATGTAAACTGATATTTCCTACTGACACACTACAGCAGAAGATAGAAATAACTGACTTTAAACCATTTTTAAGCTGGTGAAAATACTAGTGTTGTAATAATTTTGTACACCACTGTATCTCTTAAATCAGATGCTACAATGAATATGACTACATTTTGTCATTCTTATATTGCATTTTGTCTTATTATTATTGTTGTTGTTGTTGTTATTATTAATCAATAAAATAAAACAGCCCATTTTCCATTAAGTTTAGTGGCATTCTTATTCTTCGTATATATATAGGCTATAGTTTTGGGTCAAATTTAACCCCAATTTTAAGAACCTTTCAGGTTTTGTTTGTTTGTTTGTTTTAAATATATTAATCACATTTGACACAAAAATAGTTCACATCTTTTAAAGATTTAGCCCCTCAGGTGTCTGAATGAATCGTCACCTTTTTTCTAGCACTTTTTTTAGACAGTAGTGCCATTATTTAGCTCAATTCAGTTCTGTGTTGGTTCAGTAGATCAATAACATCGTAAAGTTCATCAGTACGTACAATGGGACTAAAAGCCCACAGTAGGAAGGTTAATAGTGACATTTTCTTTTCATTTCCTTTCAATGGGGCCTCAATAGTGATTAGCGCATTAGAGACCCGATCCAGCAGATGGCGCTCTTTCCCAATGGCGCTGTCAATCATCTCCCAAAAGCGTCGAAGAAGCGTTCCTCCCGCCGCCGCACAGAGCAACAAATCCAAGCTGGCGTACTGCACGCGAGATCAACGCTCGCTTCCAAAATAACATCCCACTGCAGCCCACATCACATCTGTGCTTTAATACCGCGACGCGTTTGGAGACATTTGGATCGGATACAGCGGAAGTGTCGCAGGAGGAGCAGCAGAACTGCCGTTATTCATTGAAACCCCTCGGTGAAGTCAGACACGCTGATGGCGGCGACAGTGGAGGAGCTCTACCGTAACTACGGCATCCTCGCCGACGAGAAAGAGGATCTCAGCAAAGTAAACAAAGCCTCATATCTCTGTGTTGTCCGTCTGAAGGAAACGTACTCGTTAGATATTCAGTTTGGGAGGGGTTTCATTCATTTAAAGGCTATACGCGGCCTCCTCTACGTAACGTTAATTAGGATTAGCAACAAGTATACAAAAATATACAACCCTAGTAACAACAAAATCACAAAACAAAATGAAAAAAAATAAATAAATAAAAAAAACATACAGGGCCAGGGGTAATAGTTCTTCTTTGTTTCCATTGTTGAACGCCGCGCCAAAATATTGGGAGTAGAGGTCTGCAAGCCCGTCGGGACCCGATGGGGACACGCTGAGTCCATTTGGGCCGGGCTCGCAAGTAGGTATAACTGCAGACCGGAGATCTCCAAAATAGGGCGTGAACTCCAAAAGTGGGCAGATCCTCCTAAATGGGGCGGGGTTTCCTCACGCATAGACTTGCAGCCTTGGAAAACAGACTAATAATGTGTTTTATACATTCTCGTCTGTGAAATGCGTCACTTCCGGTATTTTGCCGGGTAGTCGACGCAAGCAACTTGGTCGTTACTTTAAAAAACAAAAACGTACATTTAACGAACAAAAAAATGCTCCAAAAGTTTTTCTAAATTAACAATAAAAAAAGAAACAAAATATAATCACTTTGACATTACATACAAAACTGAACTATTTTAATAGCTGAAACGGTAGTAAGCTGTTTTGGGAGAAGGGGGTGAAAAAAGACGGGCTCGGGTCAGTTAATTCTGATAAGGTGTCGGACAAGGGCCGGGCTAGGGCCTGAGCGACTCGGGCCAGGGCAGGGCTAGGGCCTATTTTTGAGGCCCGTGCAGGGCTCTATATTGGAGAGGATTTTTTTAACCCGGCCCCTCCTCCTCAGACTAGACGCACACGCAGGCTGCCAGATTGACGACACCAACTGGAACGAGCGCACTTGACAATAAATGGAATGAAATACGCTGTGTTTTCCGCCAACTGGCAACCCGGGGTGCCGAAATACAATTGGGTAAATTGGCAGTGGGCGGGTTTCACAAACCAAAACAGAGACCGACATTCCGGCCCGGAACGCACATTTTTAAAGGAGAATAACTGACTGTAGCATTGTTTTTCAGATAAACAAGTATGTTAACTTAGCATGTTTCTTAAATATCTGCAAACATATTATGGTATTTTTATGCTTTAGTAGAGTCAAAAACTTACTTGCAGCACCTTTAAATCCTGCGCACAAAATGTCCATCTTGTTTAAAACTTCCTTGTGCTGTGTGTAATGTACTGTGCAACTAAATTAGGCTATACCATTGTAAAAACAAATACATTGACTAAAGAAGCATTAAGGTGAGATAATAATAAAACAGAAATCTAAAAATGACCCTCCCCCACACACAATCCCCTCTAGTCACCTAAGAGGGTGATTCCCCTCCATTTTCTCTGAAGACACACTTGCTGCTTTTGAGCCCAAAGACTACATCTAAGTTTTGATATTCTAAATATTTTTGATCTATGTGATTCAAGTTTATCTAGTAAACAACCCTCTACGGACACCTTGGCAATTGAATCGCCATTGGCTAGTAAATTTTTTAGTTTACTCGCCAGACTGATTATATATATATATATATATGT